GAAGGAAGAGAAACTTGGAACTGGGAAATCCAATTAGAAGTCTGTTCTAGCTGTCCAGAAGGTAATTCTAAGGTAAACTAGGGTAGTATCTATATGACAGGTGAGAAGGGGATGTTTGGTAGAGGTATTATGGAGGTGAAATGGATGACACTTGGTATCAGATTGAAAATGCTTTATTGTAATATGAGGAAAGAGTCAAGGATGAATCTGAAGATTCAAACCTGGGACATTCAGAGAACACTAGTGCTCTTAATAGAAATAGCGAAGTTTGGGAGAAGGGCAGGTATAGGGTTGAAGATAATGAGTTCATTACATTTTAGACATATTGAGTTTGAAACATCAATGGGAAGTCCAGATAAAGACATATAGCAGGCAGTTGAGAGTGTATAAATGAATTTCAGGAGAGAGGTTAGGGGTGGATATATAGATTTTAGAGTTATCTGTATAGTGATGGTCATTGAACTCACAGAATCAGGTAAGATCACTAAGGGAGAGAATATATAAAGAAGCAATCAAGGTTCAGGACAGACCCTAGGGAAAACTAATGTTAATGGAGCAGGAGATGAATGGTGACTCAGCAAAGAGATTGAAGAGGAGTAGGACAGGTAGTAGGAGAACCAGAAAAGAGCAGTGTCACAGAAGTCAAAGGAAGAGAGAACGTATCTGTAGGTGCATGTGTGGAGCAACAGTGTCAGAAACTGCATAGAGGTGGAGGAAGATGAGGACTGACAAATGATCATCAGCTTTTAGCAATTGTAAGATGTTGGTAACTGTGGATAAAGCAGTTTCAGTAGAATGGTGGCATTTAAAGCCAGATTGCAAGGGACTGAGAAGTGGGGGGCTGGTGAGGAAATAGAAGTAGCAACAGTAGTGTAAACTTTTATTTCTTTAAGTTTGGCAATGAAAGAGAAGATGGCTGTAGTATGATCATCTGAGAGGATGGTAGGGTAAGTGAAAAATTTTAGACCTGAATATATTTGTAGGTGATGGGAAATGATGTCTAGTTTGATCAGGAGATCAACCAATTAACTAATAAATTGACACACTTTTTTTACAGTAAGCACCTGCTGTATGCAAGATGTTTCATTAGGCATTGGAAATACAAAATCAAAAATGAAACAGTCTCTGCCTCTAAGGAGCTTATATTCTGTGGAGGAAATAACATATAATGTATAAAATATAGAGACTATATAAAAAATAAAATTTTTTTTTGGTAGGGAGAACAGTAGCAGCTGGGGGATGGGTATGGGGAGGACTAGAAAAGGCTTCCTGCAGAAGGTGGGATCTAAGTTGAGTTTTTAAGGAAACAAGTGATTCTAAGAGTTTGAGGTGAGAAAATAATGTATTCTGGGTAGTGGGCACAGCCCAGATGTGGAAAGATGTGGAACTAGGTGATTGGAGTGCCATGTGGGAGGAACAACAAGAAGGTTATTTTGGCCAGGCAATAGAGTGAGGAAAAGGCAGCAATATGTAAGAAGGCTGGAAAAGTAGGTTGATGTGAGGTCGTAAAGGGCTTTAAAGAGCAAACAGAGGAGTTTCTATTTAAGCCTAGCATCAAAAGGAACAAAGATGAGGGAGGAAGTGGGGGAATGGTCAATCAGTCAAAAACCTACAGGAGAAAAGAGAGGATAAGAATGAGAGTGCTTTCTAAGGTTGGTTTGGATTTTCTCAGTTAAGTAGAGTAAGGATATCTGCTGAGAGAGTTGAATGTATTTCTATGGCATGAGGAGCCAGGAGATGGGTTAGAATAGCTGCTAAGGGAAATAGGAAAGAAACTTAACCAAAGAAGAATACAAGAATTGGCAAGTAGAAGGCAGGGCTCAGTTGAGTTTTTTTAATTTGTTTTTTGTTTTGTACCAACCTATGATTTCATTAGGTTAAGGAACTCTAAATGAGTCAGCTCTTTCTGCCAATACAGATCAAGACTTGCTCTGTAACCCTGTGGTCTTAGATAGTTGCCTGAGGTTCCAAGAAATTGGGTGGCTTGTCCAAGGTTACATAGTCTGTATGTATAGAGGCAAAATTTGAACCCAGAACAGCTCTGTATCCACTATACCTCTCAGGAGAGAGGATTAGATAACATTATGTATTTGGGGCAATTTGCAACTTCCTTCTTTGACATTCAGCAGCTTGGACAGAGAAGGTTGATTGTGGGGGGTGATCCATGGTTGAATATTGATAAGGTGTGAACCTCAATGGATGGGGGGAGGAGGATCAAGGCAATTAATGGTAGAGGATAGTTGAAGTGGTTAACTTTAGGGTCAAGGCTGTAAAGCAAAAAAAGTGAGATGAGAGTGGGAAATCTTCATGATCTGGCATCTGGAAGCTCTCGTTTCCACCAGCTTTCCCTCATGATCCCTGCCAATTCCCCAAGCTGTGTGGTAAGGGTGAGCTCAGTACTTGATAAAACTGCTGTAACCCTTCTTGAGACTTGAGGATTTTGGGTGGGCCTGTGAAAAATGCGGAGGAAAACATCCTTAGTTTTGGAGAAACCTGGGAAGACTTGTATGAACTGATACAGAGTGAAGTGAGTAAAATCAGGAGAACAATTTATACAAATGGTATATTTGTATGTACAGGCCTCCTGAAATCCTTTGGCAAGCCCTTGGGTCATAAGTGGCAGTGGACCACAGGTTGTGCAGGCCTGATCTACATGATCCATAGCAAGTCATTTTACTTCTCTGGGCCTCAGTTTCCTCATCTGTAAAATGAAAAGGTTAGACTAGATAACCTCTACAACTCTAAATCTATGATCCCATGGTTTCTTATAGTTTGTTTCCAACTCTATAGTAACATGAGCTTAGAATCAGTCACCAATTCTACCTATAGGTCATGTTGGCCTGTAGCTGCCTGGAGAAGGCCTCGCTGTGCTGAAGAGATCCTGGAAGGAAGATATGTCATTAAACAGCCCCTCCCAGCAGAGCAGTATCAGGAAATGGGTAATGCCACCCTGTTGTTTTCTATATTTCTTTGAATCTGCCAGCTGCTGCCCTCTGTCTGAGCACGTTTTACCCCCCACCCCCTCTTCTATACCCTCAGGCTGAGCTGCAGGAGTCTGGTCTGAAATGGGCTGATGAAAGGCAGATACAGACCACTGAAGGTGGGTGTGGGCTGTGGGTGAGCAAAAGAATGTCCTGCTTTTTCTGAGCCCCACTTGTTCTGCCCCCTCCTCCCCTTGCTGCCACTGACTGTTCACATAGACAGCTAGCTGGAAAGTGGGAAGGTGGGGCACAAATGTCCAGCTGCTTGGGGAGGGGGAGGCCGGCGATTCATACTATCTCTGCCTCCACTTCTAGGGTGATGAATCACAGCTAGACTATCAGCCTTTAACTGTATGAAAGGCAGCTCACCTTCTCTAAGCTTTTGCCAGAAACTCAGCATCCTCTTTTGGTACATTTCTTAGTACTTCTAACTTGCTCTTTCAGTGAATGCCGGTATGGTTCCCTGAATTCAGGAAGCTTTAGAGGTCAAACGGTCACTCATTGTTTTTTGGAATTATAGAATTATAGGAAACAGTAACAAAATGGTTGAATTTTACAGTTATAGACCATTAGAATAATAGAATCACAGATTCTTGAAAATAGAAAGTTAGAGCAGGAAGGATTCTTGGAACATGAAATAGCAGAGCTGAAAAGCTCCTTGCAACAGAAAATATAGAACATCAGAACTAGAAGGGATCTTAGAATCCAATCAAATGAGACAGTATTGTAAAGCAGTTAGTATATAGTGCCTGGCATATAGTAGGCACTTAAAAAAATGCTTGTTCCCTTCCCCTTCCTCTTCCTTTCAACCAACATTTATTAAGCACCTGCTACACGCCCAGCCCTGTTAGCCACTGGTGATAAAGACAAAAATGAAGCAGCCTCTGTCCCTGATGAGATACAATATGTATACAGCCACACATAGACAAGCTAGGGAGTGAAGGGGAACAGGGAGAGATCAGCCTAGGTGTTCTAGGAAACTGTTCGGGGAGAGAGTGTGCTTAGAACACAGAATTTTTGAAGCCATAGGAGACTTTAGAGATCATTTAGTGCAACTCCTTCATTTTGCAGAAAAAGGTATTAATTCCCCAAGAGGTAAACTGATTGTCCAAGGAGGGTCATACAGCAAGGTTATCGTAAGAGTCTGGACTAGATTCCAAGTCTCCTGATCCTCACTTCATTGTTATTTCCTCAATACCATGCTACCTGCTCTAGAAAGTGAAGAGTTGGTTGAATATTTGCAGGCCCTAGGACATCCCCTGGAAGCTGCTTTTTTAGAAAAAATGATAAAGTCAGTTATATGTATTGGGTATTGGAAAATTAGTCAGAAGAAAGGATATTGGAGTTAGATTCAAAAGACCTGGGAGGCAGCTAGGTGGTTCAATGGATAGAACACTGGACTTGGAGTCAGGAAGACCCAAGTTCAAATGTGGCCTCAGACACTCACTAGCTGTTTGACCCTGGGTAAGTCATTTAACTCTGTTTGCCTTAATCCACTGGAGAAAGAAATGGCAAACTAGTATCTTTGCCAAGAAAACCCCACAGACAAGAATGGTTATGGGGTCACAAAGAGTCAGCTATGCCTGAACAGTAATAGCTGAAAATAACAGTGTGGAGCAGTGGATAGAGTGTGAGGGTCTAGAGTCAGAAAGACCTGAGTTCAAATGTGGACTCAAACACTTACAAGCTGTGTGACTGTGGGCAAGTCATTTAACCCTGCTTACTTCAGTTTCCTCATTCATAAAATTATCCGGAGAAGGAAACAGCAAATTACTGAAGTATTTTTGTTAAAAGAACCCCAAATGGGGTCACTAAGAGTAGGACACAACTGAAATAACTGAACAACCATCACTACCACCACCATCACCACCATCACCCCCCCCCATCACCACCACCACCACAACAACATACCAAGTACTGTGCTAAGAGCTGGATATGCAAAGAAAGGCAAAAACAGGATTTCCTCATCTCAGGAGCTCACATTCTAATGGAGAAAACAACATGTAATTAACTACTTACATGGAAGACATATACAATGTAAGTGGGAGGTAATCTCAAAGGCAAGGCATCCCAGGTGGGGTGGAGGACTCCAGGAAAGGCTTCTTGTGGAAGGTGGCATTTGAGCTGAGTCTTAAAGGAATGCAGAGAAGCCAGGAAGCAGAGTTGAGATGAGGGAGTGAGCTAGTCAAAAGGAACAGAATTGTGGTATAGAGTATGGAAGATGGCCAATATAGGTAGATCATAGATTATCTGGAGGAGAGCATATTTTATCAAAACTTTGCTTCTCCCTCAGTGACTAATCTTGGCTTGCTATAAATAATAAAGGCTCAAGAAGCAATGTGGCATTGTAAATACAGAGCCCAGGAAGACCTGAGTTCAAATCCTGCCTCTGAAACATGCTGACTCTGTGGTCATGGGCAAAGGCACTCCTCTCCTCAGTGCTGCAGGAAACCCTCATACTCTAAGTGACTAAATAAATTGTTTATATGCAGTAAGGAAAGGAATTTACATACCAGGTAGTCCCCCACCAGCGAAATCACATGTCTAGACCAAAAACAAAAAAACCAAAAACCCAAACCACAAATACCCTTTAGGCTCTAGTTTCCTCATCTGTGAATTGGGGACAATAATACTGGCAACTTCCTATCTCGTAGGGTTGTTAAATAGCAAATGTGATAATGTGTCTAAAAAGGTTTACACATTGTACCACTATGCAAATATAAGTTGTCAGTAGTAGTATAATCGAGGATTTGTTCCAGTTAATCAAGGTTTTGCAAAGTGTATCTTTTTTTGGGTGGGGTGGGGCGGAGGGAAGAAATACAGTGAGTTGTTTATTCTCAGCCCTTTCTTACACAATTCTTCTTAATAAGGACAGATGATGTACTACAAGCTGGAACCCTTTGGTTTCCTCTGCAGGCTGTAGCATTTCTCAGCAGCTTCGTGCCATCAATCCAGTCTGAGAATTGCCTCAGCTTGTTTCTTGGGTCCTGTTCCTGCCCACAGCCTTCCTGGCATTAACACCTCATCCTCCTCACTAGCCTGCGGTGCTCAAGCAGACAGTGACAGGCTGGAAGGATGGGAAGTGATTGCACTCCAAGCAATTGCTCCTCATCGTGTGCACTCAGTTCCTCGGCTTAGGCAGGCAGCCAGCTGCATTGACTGATAGAACCCTGTGGGAACAGTGGGGCTCTCAGGATTCTTGTACTGTTCAGGGTTAGCCAGGGAGTCAGAATGCTTTTCTCCAAAATGGGCCTGGACAAGTTGAAATGAATCGCAGATGCAGCGTAGTATAGGAGATCTGAAGTCAGAGGACTTGGGTCTGAGGTCTGGCTCTGCCATTTAGTATCTGTGTGACCTTGGGGCAAATCACTTTCTCTCTCTTGTCCTCAGTTTACTCCTTTGTAAAAATGAGGGGGATTTGGACTAGATGATCTTTCCAGCTCTAAATCCTATGTTCCTTTGTCCCTTTTTCATCTTATCTCACCTAACTCAGTTATCCTCCCCACTACTCTCCACTTATCCATCTTTCAGAAGCTCAAGGTCATTCTCTGGGAAGTCTTCCTAGAGCACGCCAAGTCCTTGTCCCTCCGCAGACTCCAAGGGATGTGGAATAGAATATTGGTTTTGCTAGTTAGCAATCTGTGTGACCTGGGCATATCACTCTCCCTATCCAAATCTTAGTTTTCTTCTCTGCAAAACGGAGAAGAGAGTGATGGATTCATTAGTCTGTAAGATCTCTTCTAATTGTACATCCCATGAGGAAAATGCATCTGTGAGTTTTCAGTGGTACGCACAGTCAAAATCCCCTTCTATCATCTTTGATCTGATCAGCCTTTGAGCTCTTCTTCTCTATGGGCTCCTTCCCTGCTGCCTCCAGACATACCCGGGTTAGTTCACTTTTTATGACCATACTACCCAAGCCATTCCCTTGTATCTCTCTTCCCTTTCACAGCCAAAATCCTACAACAATAATATCAATAGTATTACCTCAAAGTATTGTTGGGAGAACAAATGAGATGCATGGTCATGTAGCTGTGAGACATAGAACATAACAGCCTCAGAAGAATTGAAAAGAAGGATATACAGAGGCCAATGGAGAGGCACATGGAGATCTGAGTAGGCTCTAACATATAATAAATTAGATACTTGGAGGATGTCAGCAGGCAAATGTATGATTAGAAAAAGAAAATGGTCACATGGCAGTAGTGATGGGCATCCTTGCAATGTCAGGGAAAAGCCCAAGAATTTTGGTGAACTTATGGGAAGGTACAGATAAGACCTGGATGAGGATGAGCTTGGATCTACATTATTGGAGGAAATATACAAATTGATAAGATAATAATAATGACATTTATATGGTGTTTTGAGGCTTTTAAAAAAGGTGTTTACATTCTACAAGAGCATCCAACACACATCAGGACATCCTACTGGTCACCAGGGAACTTCTAGAAGTAAGAACAACAGATAGAAGTTGCAGAGAGACAGATTTTGACCCAATCTCAGGGGAAAAAAAGCTCTTCTTAACAATTAAAACCATCCAGACTGAAATGAACGATCTCCAGTAGAGATGTCCTACTCCCTAGCCTCGGCCCCACGTCCCTCCCATGAGGGGATTCTCAGCAAAAACTGGATGTCCAAAATCCTACAGAGTGTAAACCTTCCAGGACCCGGGGAGAGGGAGCACCCCTTCTTTCCAGCTTGCTGTCCTCTGTCAAGTGACCAAATAAAATTATTTCAGGAAATATAGAAATGTTTTAAATGATTGCACGTAACTTGTGTCAGATTGCTTACTGTCTCAGGGATGGGGAAGATGGAAGGATAGAATTTGGAACTCAGAACTTAAACAAACGAACAATGCATGTTAAAATTTGTTTTTACATATAATTGGGAAAAATAAGATATTATTTAAAAAATAAAAAAAACAACTAGATGTCTCTTTTGGGGGATATTGTAGAAAAGATCTTTGTTCAGTTATGGCTTAGGCTATATGGCTTCTGAGGGCTCTTTCAACTCTGAGATTCTGCCATTTAAAAAATCTGCAATCCGGATGCAGGCAAAGTTATGTATCTGTGAAAGTGATGAAGTATTTTTCCATCTTTCAGGGGGCATGCTTAGAAGCCCTAGAAACCACAATGCACAGCTGAGAATCTGGCAGGAAGGAAAGTAGGCTGCTAAGCAGCAGGTAAAGTAGATGTCACCATGTCCATGCAATTTATTTATAGGAAAGCCTCTTGGTTCCTCTTTATTCTTATTTTAGACACAATTCTAAGAAGCTTCATTATCTGTTTTCCTGGGCCACCATTGAATAGGAATAGCAAATTATCAAAGTATTAGAAACCATGGACATTTTGTTTGCTACTTTTAGGAACTTGTTCTTATATAACACTTTCCTAAGAAAAAACTTGAAAATATATCTATAGATCTTGTAGATTTATACTCTCCTTACATGTGAAACAGATTCTGAGATGATGAGTGAGAGAGCAAATAAATGAGTGGACTGCTGCTAATTGAGCTCTCCAGGAAATAGTATGGAATGGGAGAACAGAAATAGAAATAATAAAAACATGATATTGAAAATCTACCAGGAAACCCTGATGGGGCTGTTAATTCACACTACCAAATGTATATATTTCCTAAGGAATATAGTTATTTTTCAACTATTACCTTTTGGAGTGGGGAACCTGTGGCCTCAAGGCCAAATGTGGCCTTCTAGGTCCTTGGACTGAGTCCAAGTTTTATAGAACAAATACATGGAATAACCTATTTTCCTGATGATGCTAAATAAATGAAATTCTATTCTTTTCCTGCTCTTTGCTTTCAAGTTTTCTAAACCATATCTTCATGGAGTTAAGAGAGAATGTCTAAACTATACATTTTCACATAAAGTACAAAATCTTTGCATACTACAGGGTCTAAATAAATCAATTAACACATATTCATTAAGCATCTACTATATAATCTGGGTGCTGTGCTAGGAACTAAGGATAAATATACTAAGAATGGAATAATGTTTTTCCTTTCAAAGCATATTTCAAAAAATATGCTATTGGGGAGAGAAAGCATGCACACATAAAAGTGTATACAGAATAAATACAAAATAAATCCAAGGTAGTTAGGGAGGGAAGGCACTTGCAGATGGGAGAAGGCAGATGCGGTTGTACCCAAATGTTGTGGGGGTAAGGATGGAGTGGGAGTGGGGAAGGTGTACATAATTCCATAGGACTATTTTAATGACCTATTTTCCTAGTTTTGGGGTTGGTAAATGGTTGGAATTGTAGAGATTACAAGGGCATAAATACTGAAACAATAATCCTGGAAGTGTGGAAATAATGAAAGAAGTAGGTAGGTAGGTAGATGGAGTTCAAGCATTTATTAGGCAATTACTGTGTAGGCATACAAATACAAAAGAAAAGACATTTCTTGCTTTCAAGGAACTTACGTTCTGAAGGGTGAAGCCAACGACAAAAAAAGAAGCTAAAGATGGGGAGGCAGCAGTGTGCATCATGTTGGCAAAGTCCAGAGAGTTAGAAACCTAGCTGTGAGGATAGTAAAGCATGGGGGATATAGTATGGTCAGCCTAGGCTGTCATTAAAATGGAGGACTGAGAAGGAACTCACCAATGAAAGAAGGGGAATGGAATGGCAGAGGGATATTCCAGAGTGAGAAACCCCTGGCTCTGAGGAAGTACCAGGATGAGAAGACAGTTGAGTCATGGTGTTGAAGTCTATAGAGTCAGGCACCACCAGGAGGGAAATAGTGAGCTGGAGGGTTGATTCAGTTGTATGGAAAACAGTGTGAGTGGTGCTACCAGTGACTTCCTAGTGAGGCTAATCTCAGTGAATATAATGGAGAGCATAACTGAGTTTGTGTCTGTGAACTCCATCGTTGAAATGGTGAACCTGGGCTACATATTGAGGCCTAGTCTGAGAAAAGCTATTGAGGGGTGAGAGGAGTAGGGTAGTAACCTGTGCCTGTCTTCCCATTTAACATAAATGCCATCAGGAGAGAGCCATGATGAGAGTCTATAAAATGAAACTTGGTCTTATGCAACATATTTGACTCATGGTTTCTCTAAAAAGTGTTCGATGCTTTTAAAAAATATCATTGTCACTTCCCAGTGACACTTTCTGCACCTACAGTAAAGAACTCACCTTTTTAACAAACAAGCATAGCTAAGCAAAATAAACCACATTGGTCTGATCTCACAGCATAATGCTTGTTTGAGGAGCATTAATGTCAAGGGCTGGAGAAATGATCTTCTGACCATTCCCCAACATTTAGCAGCATATCCTCTCTAGCGGTGTCGTAAGCATTACCACCATTCCATCAAAAGGCGAAAAACCTAAACCCAGCACATAATACCAATATATTCAAGCCGAGTTTATTCAAGGTTATTGTGCAGCTGGCCATATCTTGGATGGATATTGAATCCCATCAA